AATATCAGCTTTATTACGATGACAATTAAGATACATCGATTTTCCGATAATTTAATAATGAAATAATGGAACAAATAAACAAACAAAAATACACTTTAATCGTATTATTTAAAGAGAGAAATGATAGATTATATTGGTAATATAAATAATAATATATATTTTATTTTTATTTAAAAATTATTGTGTCTATGTGTGTCATATATTTTTGTATGCTGTTATTTGAAAATCTCGATTGAATACAATAGCATTTATATAAATATAATAATATTAATAGTCCTTTATACGATGAAAGAAATTTTATATCTTTGTAGGAGTACTAATTCTTTTGTATATAACATCATCGTACGGTCATCTAAATCAATGTTGAAAAAAATTCTTCGAAGATTTTCGTATATACGTGTTAATCGTACCGTAAAGAAGATAGCTTGTTAGAATTTCAAACTTGAAACTTTACAAACTCTCTACACAACTTTAACAAATGTCAATGTATCTCTCAAAGGGGTTTGTTTGAATCTTTACGTTTGAATCTTGAACTTCGACGTTATTCAACCATTTGCATATTCATTACGTTTTCAAAACTTTGTATCTTCGAGAACGAATATTTGTATTTTTATGTGTGTAATATTTCTTTAATATCAATAAATTTTAATGATTATTATTTTCTTTTATACTCTTATTTTGTTATATCAGAAAATTTTCTTGATGTAATAACATCGAAGAACAAGAAACAAACGAAAGATTTATTTTTTATATTTCGAATTATAATACAAAATTCAAATAATTGTGTAAAATAATTAATATATTATGTATTATTTTTTTTAAACACACGCAGTTACAGAATTGATTAATATTTAAAAACATAACCGGTGTTTAAAAGTTTCTAAGATAAATTTCAAAATTAATTAGACACTTTTACCCCAGGAAGTAATCTTGTTTTTTTTTTTTTATTTTTTTTATTTCAACCAGTCTTAAAACTACAGAAATTGTTTATATAATTATTAATTTCTAACTACACACACTACTATACGTTTAATGATTTTTTCTTGTTTTTATATGTTTTTTATTTTCCCCATAAAAATATGTAAATATATATAAAAAGGAAAATAAAATAGAATTCTAACGAAAAATACTACGTTCACATGAAAAAGAGGGATTACCATAAACTTTAGTATGGAAATTGCCATTGATAGATAGTAATGATAATAACGAAACGGTAAAAGAATTTAATGGAATCTAACTCGAATTTCAATAGAAAGTGTCACGGTTGAAATGCAATAAATTGAACTTGGACTTGGAAATAAAGAAATTTATGTATGGTACATATGTATCCTTACATAGGTATATATAATATATATATATATACATATATATCTATGTGATACGTGACCTCTTTCAAATGAAATAGTATAACGAAAGCCCAGAAGTGTGCATCGGTGGCTTCACGAATCCACTTTTCGTAAATCCGTTGGTAGATAAGGGTAAGATTTATTTTAGTAAGGGATGATGATGATGATGATAATGATAATATCTTTTCTATCGTCAAATTCGTTTGTTGCAAAACATTTTTGTTTAATATTCTATCATCGATATCACGGGAATTACGATTACGCGTAATCCTATTAGAGAAAAAACAAAAAAATATATATATAAATATATATATAAAAAAGAATGAATGCAACATATATCTATTATAAATAGAAATGACAAAAAAAAAAATATAAAATAGGAAGATTAATGTTTATCGGATTCACAGATGATAATCCATATATTTTTGTTTCCTTTTAAATTTTTGTAAAAAATAATTTGTATCTTTAATTTTATAACATTTTTGCAACCCTGACATAATAAACTACATTCCATTAAGATACTTCTTTAAAGATTTAAAAAAAATTTATGTATATATATTCGCAAAAGAGAGAAAGAATAACGCAATAAATATTTTTCCCATAAGTGTTTGCATTATCAATTTACATACGGTTTTAATATTGAACGATGATTTCAAAATACCATGACTTTAAAATTCCATGTTGTGTTTTTCTACCTCTTTCCTTCCCCCTTCTTCCCCGTTCTAAAATGGATCGCAAATAAACTGTCATATTAAAAATTGCTATGTATTCGTAAATTTGTGTATAAATACAACATTTACGTATATACGAATTTCTATATCAATGGTTCCCCCTTGTCTTTATTATAGTTCGTTTCTTTCTTACTTTACGTCAGATATTTATCTTTCGATCGTTTAAGGGTAATAAGGGCGACCTCGTACTACGATGTTGTCAGTCAATAAAATACGATCTTCCTCGTAACACACTTTATTAAAAGAAAAAAAAAATAAATAGAAAATGTGTAACTTGATTTCGAAGCCAAGGAACATTTATTTTTCTTCTCGAACAAACGTTTTTAATGAATATTATATTCTTATTATTTATTATTAAACAATTCTATATATCACTAAATATATTTAGTATTAATTAAATGAAATTGATTAATCTACTTGTATAAAAACTTTAACAATTATGGTTTGTTATAATCGAAATTTCAACGTGTTCGTGGGTATCATCCTACATTATATGTGTTTCACGCTACTAGGATGTTATTTAATGTGTTCCCGTAAACTATGCTTAGCAGGATGTCATCGTTAAAAGAGAGAATAAGAGGCGTGTAAGGGGGGAAAAGAAAAGGGACAGAAATAGAAGAAGGGGGTTTGAAAGGAAACAAACGCGACGTTAATTAAAAAAAATCACGCCTTTTAATTTTATCATTAAAATTGACCCAAAAATGTCGATTCAAAAATACTTTAAAATTCGTTTAATTAAAATTAAATGTTTCATATTAAAAATGAATTACATCTATATCGAAGTGTTGGAAATAAATAATACATTTGTTTAAAATTAATAAAAAAAACAGAATTATCAGATATATATATATTAGATTATAATTAAAATTGATTACATTCAATTAAAAAATGTAATATATAGATTTAAAGAAACGTATAAATGATGATATAGTTTTCAATTCGAGAATGTTTGAAAGAGTTAAAAGAAGAAGAAAAAAATCGTCCTTGAACGTGACGTAGTCACATCGGTGACCAGTGCTAATTGATTTGCTTCGTGAAGTGTCATTTCTTAATTAATAGCCACGAGAAAGAAGGATAACAAAGGCTTGGTCGATATTTTAACACGATTGCCCTAACCACCAATATCTTTCTAGGGATATAGTATTTCATAAAATTTCTTATTAGTATTATGAGAATCTGTGTGAAATTCGATTTAGTAAAATGTCGAAGAAAATAAAATCATCATTCGATTATCTTTTTATCTTTATCTATTCTTTTTAATTATTATTATACTTATTATAAATATAATAATTATAATAATAATAATAAGATGACAAAAATGTAAGCATTTTGCGAACGTAACTCGAGTTATGTCACATTCCAATCAACTTGGATAAATGTAAACATCAGAAATATTAAATTTTATGCAAATACCTTGACGAGAACAAAAATATTTAAAAAATAATATGTAAAAGAAAAAAAATATAAAATACGACGACGCTTTGGAACATAGTTTTCTTTTTACCAAAGATTAACCTCCTCCTCCTCCTCCTCCTCCTCCTCTTCCTCCTTCTCTCTCATTTTGCATTTAAAATTCTTGTATTTTATTATTCCGATTTTAATTCTTTTTTTATGTTTCGTTCCAAGCAAAATCAGTATATACCTATATATGATATTTTTGTTTTTTGTTTTTTGTTTTCTAGAAACCCATTCAAATAATCAAGCACGCAATCTATATCTATACCTACATCTATTCTAAGAGTAATAAACGGGAAAAAAACATTCTAACGATCTAACAGCGAGCAATTAATTTCACTTTACTAGTAACATTCGTCTAGCTATAGTAAACTTGAACTAATGAAGGTATATTCCTATGGGAAAAATATCCCCAAGCTATACTATTCTCAACAAGCTAAGAGTATTACGTATTTGTATTATATTATTATCAAACTTATATATTAGTAGGATTGATTAATAATACAAAATAAAATATATGATACACACAAAAATGATATAACAATTCTTTTATCGATTTTTAAATCATAAAAGTTGTGAATACTTTCATTTACACGATATAAATTTGGAAGTATTATAAATAAATAAATAAATAAATAAGATATTAAATCTTAACAATATTTTTTATTTACAATATCGAACCCAATGAATATCTAATCAAACATTTTGTGTAAATCAAACACTTTATTACGTTTTATTCTTTCTTAATCGAGTAAAATGTTATTATATATATATATATATATCGTAGAAAATAAAAGTAAAAGCAATGGAAATAATAAAAAATAGATAAATAGATTGAATTTGCTTTGGTTAGTGTTCGCAATAAATATTGTATATACACCTTGAAACTTTCATACTATTTTTTTGAAGCTTGCAATATCTATGTCAGTAGACGAGAAAGAATATCCTATCCATATCGAAAGAAAAAGAAGAAGAAGAAGAAGAAAAACTTATTGAAAACGTATTACGTTATCCTTATTGATTATTTGACTAGTGAAGATCGATGGAAAAGAGAGTGAAAGAAGTTAACTTATGTTAGATTAGAAATCTATCTTGATTAATAAAAATCCTATGAAAAAGATCGTTTTAGTTAAGAAAAATAGATATATAGTTGTCGAACGAAAGATTATGTTTCTATTTTTTTTTTTTTTTTAAACTAATCATCACACTTTCAACGATTACGGGATGTACTTTCTTTAAACGAATATTTCTTATAACAATTAGCAAAATTTTAAAATAGGAATAAATATAAATCGAGAAGTAATCGATATTTTTTTTTTTGTTTATAAATATAAATAACTTTTCCTGACTTTTTAATTTTATTTTATATTAGATTATTTCGTCTCTTTCCTGTTGTTTTTTATTTTTTCCTTCGATCAATTGACATTAGAAAAATTTCGATTGATTATATGTGACATTAGGTTTGTTATAAAAAAAACTGATATGTAAATGAAAAGATTTTACTGATCAAATTATTCACCATTGTCTGACAAATAATTAAGATTCATCGTTTGAATGTAACATCAAGTTTTGTATTAATTATTTTAACGTGACAATGAAAAGTAACGTAATCAAAGTACATCTAGATGTTGCATGATTCAATCTTTGTTATTCGCGTTGGGGGAATTTTAATCTTTGTAAAAGCTTCTTAAAATGCATTTCAGATGGGAGATTTATATCGTAGAAAAGAAAAAAAAAAAAAACAAAAAGAAATTATATTTATCTCTCACATCTTTTTACATTTGTCATCTTCCAATACTCGTGGCACTAGATAATTTTGAGAAAAAAGAAAGAAAAATAAATAAACAAAATAAATTATTCAATCAGTAGAGAAAATATAATTATAATTATTTTATATAACATATATATATATATATAGTACGAGCCAAAAGTTTCAAAAAATTTCATTTTACACTTTATTCGTGACGGGATTTGTCAACGTGGCTTTTCTCCCAATTTCATAAATTAATCTTGTAATTTTATAATACGATAAAAATATTAGCGTAAAAATATTTCGAGGGAGAAAGAAAAAAAAAAAGAGTTTTTTTAATGTTGTAAACTTACTTAAGAATTTTTTGTTTTTCTTTTTCTTTTTTGGAATTCGTCTTATCTAATTATCTAATGATAATAATTATATAATTACGATACCTTTGTTTTTTTTTATCTCCAAATCTCACGTCATTCGGCAGTGATTTTCAAGCGAGTGTAAATAAAAAGAAAAGAAAAAGAAAAAAAGAAAGAAAGAAGTAATCCAGCGTTATGAGAGACACGTTTTACGATTTTTCATTTCGTCAGTGAGACGACAAATCCAAAGACAAATATTTTGTCTCTTTTAATTCGCGTGGTGCAAACGTTTAAACGATTCGTTCGGTTTAAACTGTTATTACGATTGAAGTGTATGAACAAATCCTACGATTCTTGTTGTCCGTACTATGTTATTGCTTAAAATAACCTTTCACGTTACGTTTATATGAAATATGTATGAATATTTTACGTCAAAAAATTAAAAAAAAAAAAAAAAAAAAAAAAAATCCTCTTCAAGTTTTGCACGTGTGTGCTGATATCGTTCGTTTTGAATGTTATAATAAATATATATATGTTGAAAAGAATTTATTATAGAATTTATCTTCACGATCTTTGGTTATCGTTTAATTAAATATATCATCGAAC